GCACATATTCCATCCGGTCCAATAGATAGAGATGGTTTTAGATTGCGTAGTGCTTTTCAACATTGTCTTCTGTAAAATTGATATGTATTAGATCATTGTAGTTGTCTGTGGTTTGGCTAGGAAATAGTGGGCATGAACCATTGCTGTTTACAAATACTGAGCCGAAGAATGTGTTAAAGATGTTGGCTTTAATGGTGTCGTCGTTGCAGTTTTTACCATTAGGTCCTATCAGGGGTGGGATGGACCTTGAGTCTTTTAGTTTGTTGTTTACAAAATTGTAAAAAGCGCAGGTGGAATTGGTGCATAGAACATAAAAGTCAATCATGTTGTGGTCACTGTTGGAAAAGGGTTCTTTAATTTGTATTCCGTAAATTGAATTTCTTCTTCTTCTTCTCCTTCTCCTTCTCCTTCTCCTTCTCCTCCTCCTCCTCCTCCTTCTAGGAAAGCTGGAACAACTGACCCAACAAAGTTGCCCTACCATTGTAATGGCCACTTCCAGTTAATTTTGAATTCCTTGCAGTTTTCCAAAACTCTTCAAGACAGGCCCACAAATTAGGGCTGAAGCCAGAAGTTCATTGATTACAGGAAGGAGACCTACAGCTGGCATGCCAGTGAGTCCATGCTTGGGGGGTGGGGAGAAACCACTATGCACTCCCAAATAAAATTGCTGCAGTTGATAAACACATTCAAACATCCACGGAAGCCACCTTGAATCGCTGTGTGCGAGTAGGCGGTAATAAAAAAATTTCTAAAATAAACCAACTGTGAATCCCAAAGGAGCTTTTTCAAGAGGCCTTTCTGCTTCTTCTTTGAAGACGTTTCGCTTCTCATCCAAGAAGAAGCTTCTTTGGTTCTGACTGCTTTGGTGGGGAATGATTCAATCGGTGCTGAAGAAGCTTCCTGGATGAGAAGCGAAATGTCTTCAGAGAAAAACACCAGAAAGCCCAGTTGCCCCTTGGGAAAAAAAAAGCACCTTTGGGACCACCATGACCGGGATGACTGAGAATCTCCACAGACATCCAACTGTGAACTTATGCAGAAGGACATCAACATCTTCTCCGAGATAGGAGGAACATTGTTCCTCATCAGCCTGTCTCATTCAATAAAAGATGGGAGCCCAGGGCAACGCCCCAAATGCTTCTCTTTCCCCCTTATGTCAGCGATGAGGAAGACAGCATTCCACGGTTCTCCTGCATCAACAAATCCCGAGAATTTCAATCAGGCTTTCTAAATGCATGAATTAATTGGTATGCCACGAATACCTTATACAGGGCGTCCACTTTCATGACGAAGCCATCCACACCGGGCATGCTGCTGACCTGGTGGAAATCGGGCAACTCGGATGCAAAAGAGGCATCGAAAGGGACATCGTGAAAATATTTGTCGGTCACTTCTGGTTGACTCCGGTCCTGCAGATTTAAAAAAGGAATTGAGGACAAGGTGAGGAGGAGGAGGAGGAGGAGGAGGAAGCTATTATCAGGGATACCGATGCGCTCGACCAGCAACTTTCAAACAAATGAGGTCCAGAGAGAGGTTAGAACAGGATTTCGCAGAATTCCCTTCGGTCCGCCGGCCAGGAATTCTCGGATTTGCAATCCTAGCACATCTGGAAAGTGAATTTGTGGAAGCCTGGTATTCTACCAAGGGAGTAATTAACAAGGATATTGATCTAGATCAGGGGTGTCGATCTCGATTTCATTGAGGGTCGCATCAGGGTTGTGTTTGACCTTGGGAGGGCTAGGGGGGGCGTGGCCAGCTCGATATCACTCGTGTTGGGGGCACGAGCGCTCTGCCAGCCAAAATGGCACCGCGGGCCGGTTCTTCGCCGTTTCCATCCCCCAGGCCTTGTGTTTGACACCTCTGATCTAGATCGGGCATATGACTACGTAAGCAACCATTGAAATGACCAATCAACAAGAGAACCAATCAGCAGCTCAGCATTTAAACATAGCTCCAAACGAATAACCAATCAGACAACCACCTGGTCACACTGGTACATTTATAAGCTAAAAGGGATAGGGCAAGAAAATCCTGCTGATGATGTTACCTAGAATGGTAATGGAATGTTCCGAAATTAAATTGAAACAAGCTTAAGAGAGCAAACCCCTGCCAACATCTGGAAAAGTTTTGATTTGGGCAAGCTTTAAAGCCTGGAAATTGGCACGACCCTTCCAAGATCCCACAGTGCCAAAACAGATTCCTAAAGAAGGAATCAAGTTGACTGGATTGGGAAAAGTGTTGGTTGTGTGATGCTCATCTAGGATCCTGGGTGATTTACCTGATTCTAACCCATGATTGTTATTCAAAATGAATTATCCATCCACGAAAACACAGGTGACTAATCTGAGGTTCATAAAGCCGTGTACAGTTTTGGAGATCTTGACATGGTCAACCGTAAATACCTTGGTCCCTAAGCTTCCTCTTATTATTTAACTGTTCGATGGGCTGGAAACCGAGACTTGTCCTGGTGTGATGGTGTGTTAAAATGATCGCTGCCCTAGTCAATCGCCTCTTCAGCGTGTGGGGAGAAGAAAAGCATAGAGCATGCATTTATAGAAGGGACTATAGATTGTTCCGGGTTGAACTGTGATTCTTGGTGCTCTCTGAGCTTGGTGGTTTTCTTGCAGAAATTTCATTAGTAGAATAGAATAGAATAGAATAGAATAGAATAGAATAGAATAGAATAGAATAGAATATGGAATGGGATGGGATGGGATGGGATAGAATAGAATAGAATAGAAGCTGGAAGGGACCTTGGTGGTCTTCTAGTCCAACCCCCTGCCTAGGCAGGAAACCCTATACCACTTCAGACAAATGGTTATCCAATCTCTTCTTAAAAGCTTCCAGTGTTGGAGCATTCACAACTTCTGGAGGCAAGCAGTTCCACTGGTTAATTGTTCTAACTCTCAGGAAATTTCTCCTTAGTTCTAGGTTGCTTCTCTCCTTGGTTAGTTTCCATCCATTGCTTCTTGTCCTGCCTTCAGGTGCTTTGGAGAATGGCTTGACTCCCTCTTCTTTGGGGCAGCCCCGGAGATATTGGAACACTTCTATCGTGTCACCCCTAGTCCTTCTTTTTATTAAACTACACATACCCACTTCCAGCAACAGTTCTTTATATGTTTTAGCCTCCGGTCCCCTAATCATCTTGGTTGCTCTTCTCTGCACTCTTTCTGGACTCTCAACATCTTTTTTACATTGTGGGGAACAAAACTGGTATCTAGGTAACATAATCTGTGCTTCCGGTGCAAAGTGTACCAGAGCACTGATGATGTTACCTAGTTTGGTAATGAAATGTCTGCAAGAAAACCACCAGAGGACCCCACATGCATTCATGTACACCAGTCTCCCAAGTCAATGGTATAGCTTCTATGCTGCCTAGCTGGCGGGTGCTAGGAAAAGTACCGATCGAGAAGGTGGAAAAAAGAGATATTTCATGAATTTCCCCTCTTCCTTTACATTAGAGTAAACTACTATAGCTTTCTGAAAGTTGCTGGTAAGTTTTAATTTTTAATCCAACAGAAGGGGAAAAAAAACATAAACACATAGGGAGTAGTCATTCATAATTCATACATACCCATTAAAAAATCATATGAAATCACACGAACAGTTCTTACGGTATTCTCTACCCTAGACCTCAACGGATACTTGGTCAACTATTGAAAAGCTAAACACAACACTGTTTTTCACGAAGAAACACTGAGAAACATTTCAAAGCTATTAGCTGCAGAAAGAAGTTTGCTCATTTCCTTCCTGTGTCCATCCCAGTCAGGTTACATGGTAAGTTAGTATGGAGAAACAAATGGGTCTCGTTTTTCTTCTGTTGTTAAAAGAGGAGAATAAAGGATACCTTCCTTTCTACACCCTCCTCACTGCTGTTGTAAATAGCACCACTGGACAATGGCAAGCATCCCTATCTGGAAGAAAATATTTGTGGCTCAGAGATATAATGGAGAGTCCTTGGTGCTCTCTGAGCTGGGTTGTTTTTTTGCAGGCGTTTCATAACCCTACTTGGTAACATCATCCGTGCTAGAAGGGAGTGAGTAAACAAAGGATGTTACTTGGTTAGGTTATGAAACGTCTGCAAGAAAACAACCAAGCTCAGAGTTCACCAAGGACCCCCTACATTAATCTCCATAGACATTTGGGACCTAGAGAAAGCTGGACATGGAACTTATCCTTTACAGCAGGGGTCCCCAACCGCCGGTCTGTGGACCGGTACCGGTCCGCGGAACAAGTCTTACCGGGCCGCTGGTTGCTGGGCGCCGCCATCTTTTTTTGATAAAAAAGTGCTTCCGGTGAGCTTTTCTGGGTAGAAAGCTCACCGGAAGCACTTTTTCATAAAAAAAAGATGGCGGCGCCAGCGCTTCCGGTGAGCTTTTCCGGGTATAAAGCCATTTCTACCCGAAAAAGCTCATCGGAAGCGCTGGCGCCGCCATCTTTTTTGATGAAAAAGTGCTTCCGGTGAGGTCACCGGAAGCACTTTTTCGTCAAAAAAAGATGGTGGCGCCCAGTTGATGCTGGTACCGGGCCGCGGCGCCCAGCTGATGCCGGTACCGGGCCGCGGCATAAAAAAGGTTGGGGATCACTGCTTTACAGAACTTATTCTTTCTCTTCAAGTGACCCTGACTCCAGGGATTTTTGTACTCTTGACCTACCGTTGAGTAAGAATGAATTGGGCGGCCATATAAATTTTCTTAAATAAATAAATAAATACATAAATAGAAGGTTATTTCATTGCCTTCTAATAAACTCCTCCAACTCCAATCGGTCGCTAGAAGTTAGATAGACTCACTGTATGAATGGGTGCTTTGAATAAATTGATTGATTTGATTAATGAGCACATACCATATTCTGATAAGTTATTAACTATAACTGAGCCGCGGTGGTGCAATGGTCAGAGTGCAGTACTGCAGGCTACTTCTGCTGACTGCCAGCTGCCTGCAATTTGGCAGTTCGAATCTCACCAGGCTCAAGGTTGACATTCAGCCTTCTGTCCTTCCGTGGTCGGTAAAATGAGGACCCAGATTGTTGGGGGCAAATAGGTTGACTCTGTAAACTGCTTAGAGGGGGCTACAAAGCACTGTAAAGGGGTATATAAGTCTAAGTGCTATTGCCATCATGTACAGGTAGTCTTCGACATATGATCACAATTGGGACCAGAATTTCTGTCACTAAGCAAGCTGTTCTTAAGTGAGTCATGCCTAATTTTTAAAACCTTTCGTTGCCACGGTTGTTTTCCTGTGGACTTTGCTTGTTGGAAGCTGGCTGGGAAAAGTCTCAAATGGCAAACCTAGGATGGTAGATTCTTCTGTCAAAAACACCTGAATATCGATCATGTGTTTTTCAGTGTTTTTGGAACGGTCCCTGAAGGAAGGATTGTTAGTTGAGGATTACCTCACCAAACTCCACCCCACACCCCCCACCCAAGTCAAAGTTTTATCTTATGGAGAAAGGAGTTGTGCTATGTACCAGCAGCAGGAATCTGTGCTTCAGGTGCTTGCTAGGCTGGATGCAGCCGTACTGGGGTCCTTCGTTATATATTGTGCCTGTTGGGTCAAAGAACGGGACGTAGCCATCTTTCCCTGTGCAGAGGTAGACTTTCTCCAGCTGCAGTTTGTAGGCGGAATTGAGGTTTTGCTCTGGGTTCCACATCACTCGGCCGTATAGGATTTGACCTAAGTAAAATATATATATATATGTATATATTTGAAATCAGGTAGATCCACCAGAATAACAAGAGTTGGAAGGGACCTGGGAGGTCTTCTAGTCCAACCCCTTGCTCAAGCAGGAGAGACCCTATATCATTCCAGAAAAAATGGTTGTCCAATCTCTTCTTAAAAACAGTGTCGGAGCATCCAAAACTTCTAAAGGCAAGTTGTTCAACTGGTTAATTGTTCTCACGGTCAGGAAATTCCTCCTTAGTTCTAGGTTGCTAATCTCCTTGATTAATTTCCCACCCGTTGCTTCTTGTCCTGCCTTCAGGTGCTTTGGAGAATAGCTTGGCTCCCTCTCTTCTTTTGTGTCAGCCCTGAGATATTGGAAGACTGCTATCATGTCATCCTTAGTCCTTCTTTTCATTACACGAGACATGCCCAATTCCTGCAACTGTGCAATTCCTGCACCAAAAGGACAAATATCCAGAGAAGGGCATTCTAGTCCCAATCCTATCGTGTTTCTCCTAAAGCACGACCTACCCAAAAAGAAGGCCCAGCACTGTTTTGGGCGCATGCATTACAATTAAGCCCCACCTCCAAAATTTGGCCCTCTTTAAGTGCAGCAGGCTTTTTCAGGTGGATGGCTACTGGTAGCTGGAGTGACCGTTACAGGTAGGCAAGGGTGTGTGAGGCGCGTGGGTCACATCGTTTGCTCTTTTCGGCTGCAAAAGAAGCTGCCCGGTGGCCAGGACAGGTACATGGGGGTGTCAACTCATAAAATATTTCTATGATCTTTTTAGAAAGGGAGGCGGGAGCAATGCAGCAGCTTGCAAACCGAAAGTGCATTTCATAAATGTTTTCAAAGATAGTAACTAGGTGACTGAAGTTTCTGCCATGCAAAATTCTAACTGGAGAGCCTGATTGATGACTCTTGGCTATGGATGTGTCCCATTGGAGAATATGAATTACGAGACACTCAAAGGGTTGGGGTAAAACTAGGGTCAGGGGTGACAATAAATTATGTGTCTCAGATTTGGCTGACACCCAGGCAATGCTGGACAGTTTAACTCTCAATAAATCCTTTTTAAGTTTTGGAAGTTTAGCTGGAGACTTATGATTTAAATGGGGGAGGGGTAACTGCTGGAATCCTGACAGGGGGAAATTAAGACACCCCTCGAAAAGAAGGCCTAGCCATTTTTTTCAGGGGTCAAAAGAAAGTAAAACCTGGTCATATTTTTGAAGAAACATGGTAGCAAAAAATGGCTGCGTTGCTCAAAGGGAGAGGGGATCTGAATTCGAAATTTGGCATTACGATAGAAGATGTTGGAGAACGAGAAGCCATGCTTCGAACCCGTGCCGTGCCAAACTTTCCCAGCTGACTCCCTCACCTTATGCTGGTGTTGCCAATCCCCTTTTCCCCTGCCCGGCACGGGCATCAGCTTGGAATTCTGGGACTTCTGTGATAATATGAACTTCGCTTCCTGAACATTTAATGAGTTATAGAAGCAAGGTTTGAATAAAAAGAGGCAGACTTGAAGCTGAGCTGAAACATTCCTGTGCATAATCACGGCCCAATGTTTAATACAGACATATTTTAGACATCACCTCATCCTGCTTTATAGTGCATATATACATACATCAAGCATACATTAATATATATTAAAGCATGCATTAAATATTAAAACCTGCTTCATGGGATATATATATATATGCATATGCTTAACATATATACATATATTAACATAAATACATATGTATTCCAATGTTAAATATCTATTACACCTTACCTTCGTGCATTGCAGGAAATTTACTTATGCGGCTTCCTGCAAAATAGGCTGCTAAGCAAGGAACGCTAGGAACCAGCCAGTGAGATGGATGGCATACAAATGTAATAATATATATATAAAAAAAACCTATGGTTTAATAAAATGAACACCATATAAAGAGGGTCCTTCTAAAATCTCCTAAAGAGTGTTATGTCCATCCAATCAGCGGCTGTTTCACTTATTCTGCAATTCAGTTTAGCCCAGGGGTCTCCAACCGTGGCTACTTTAAGCCTGGAGGACTTCAACTCCCAGAATTCCCCAGCCAGCTGGCTGGGGAATCCTGGGAGTTGAAGTCCTCCAGGCTTAAAGTGGCCAAGGTTGGAGACCCCTGATCTAGCCTATTTCCCCACAGAACATTTCTGTTACCTTCCCGGATGTTTCCTTTGCCATTCGCTCGGAGAGCTCTATGCCCCTTGTCCAGATCTCAAAACACACAAATTGTACCTTTGGAAAAAGCTCCTCTGTAGTCCATCTCGGCCATCGACATCTCCGTTTTAGTTGGGTCCATGAGAAAAACCTTTTCATTATTGCAGAGCTGAAACTCCGTGTTCAGGGAATACACTACAGGAACCGGGCGGTTAGTCTGCTGAAAGGCAATTGGGATCAAAAACCTAGACGGGGGGAAGAAGAAAGGGAATCGAGAAATAAGGCTACAGAAGTCATGATAAAATAAAACTTAATAATAAAACGTTTTCTTTGAGCCAACTCTGGCATACATAATTTACAGTCACCTGTGACCCTGTTGTCAGGTGGTGCTCCATTCAAAATTCAAGAAAGAAAAACTTAGACTCTTTAGATTAGAGGAAAGATATCTTTTTACTGAAAATGAAGTGGTAGCATCAAATAGAATTCTGAATCTGAGAAATTAGGCCCGCAGATCACATATACAAAGTGTTGGAAATGTTCCCACCCCCCAAAGTTCAAAAGATTCTTCCAATTAAAAGTTCTGGATATGGTCATGTGGGCATCTTCAGGTGGTGATGAGGCCTCTGTCCGTTAACCTTGACATATTTTGATAAAGATTTGCAGCTGCGCAGAGAAAAGAAAGCTAAGCGAGGAATAGAAACTTAAGAGCAGGAATTTATACTCCCCCCCCACCCACTCCTCATTTACACAACACAGGAATGTAACACCTCCAGCTCTCTTCCCAGACATATCCCCTCCCCCCGTTACTTATGGCAGCCAAAAGATGCAAAGCAGTAGGAAAGATCTTGAAGGCTGACCCCCGTTCCCCCCCCCCCCCCCGGTGTGTCATAAATCAGATTCTCCAACTGAGCACCTTCACAGGCTGGGTGTCATCAATCACGTTCTCCAGTTAAGGAATTTCCTGGGCAAAAGCTCTGGTAGCTTAGCTACAATCTTTTTGAGATAAGGTCGGAATGTGCTTCTGAATTCACTTGCCCTGTGCTCCTTCAGGTTCCCTCCCCCTCTTTCTTTAGGGCAACTTGGAAACAGGCATAGGGATGTTTTACAAATGGACATTACCTAAATCAGCGGTGCCAAACTGGATTTCTTCAAGGGTCGGCGGAGCATTGTAGTCCTCCTCCATGGGCTGACGGGAAGCGGAAGGGAGACGGGACAAACGCTTCGTGCAGCACTCTGCCGGCCAAAACGGGGTGCACGCGGAGGCCCCGCGAGGCCCCCACATGGCCAGTTTTTACCCCAAATGGCTCCCTGAAACACTTTGCTAGCCAAAACAGGACACATGGAGGCTTCGTGGGCCAGTCCTTTGATATTTTGGCTGGCAGAGGCACCGCAGGCCAGTCCTTTGGTATTTCCAGGCCAGCTCTGAAGGCCACATTTAAGCACCCCACGGGCCAGATTTAGCTCGCAGGCCTGGAGTTTGACACCCCTGGTATCCTCTCTGGGTTTTTCCTCCAGGAGAAAACAAATCAGCTGCTCAGCCAAGTTCTCAACAATTAAGGAAACCTTATCGGTCAAGAAGAGCCAAATCTTGTTATCTCCTAGCAAACCAACCACTTTGTCTCCTTTGAGAAGGATTGAGAGAGTGATCGGTCCAGAATTACCATCAAGTAGGGTTCAGGTCTAACCTGGTTTTTAAATGGACCCGTTTTCTAGATCCACAAAATACACTAGACCACAATCTAAGCAAGACGGCTTCAGTTTGTACTACACTACCATTCCTTATCATCTTCCTAGTGTTATTCCTGCTGTTGCAGGTTCCGCTTTTTGGATCGATGAACCCCGTCTGGCACAATCAAATGTGTAGCCCGATACGCTGACTTTTGCACAACACACCATCCCAGAAATCTTCCAGGTCATATCCTGACCTAGTTAATTAGCTGGACAAGCAGAGCAGTGAAGTTCATGGGTGGATCTGAAAGCATTCCAGGGCTATTTCCATTCAAGTAACTGCTGACATTTCAAAATACCTTCAGGAATGACCTGAGGACATCTAGAAGTGGGTTTTCTATCAGTGCAGATTAACTGTTGTCCTACATGGACAAAACTTTGGACTTGCTAATACATTAAATCAGATTAATTTAGAAGCAGATTAATGCTTCAAAGCCAAGGAAACAGGGTTCCAGTTTCCCAAGGTAGTTCCTTTCAGCTCCTCCTGTGTAGGCGACTAGCATCCTCACCACTCTGAAGGTTCACATATAAGCACATACCAGGTAGTCCTTGACTTATAACCACAATTGTGCTCAAAAATGCTGTTGTTAAGCGAGACAGTTAAGGGCCCCATTGTACAACCTTTCTTGGCCAAGCGTTCAGTGAATCCCTGCAGTTGTTAAATTAGCAACATGGCTGTGAAATGAATCTGGCTTTTCCACTGACTCCATTGTGGTCCTAAGCACTGGTGGGATTCAAAATTTTTTTTACTACCGGTTCTGTGGATGTGGCTTTGTGGGCGTGGCAGGGGAAGGATACTGCAAAATCCCCCTTCCCTCCACACCCCACTAGCCTGCTTTCCAGCTCCGTTCTCCTGTGCAGGGCAACCAAAGAAGACCCAGCCGATCAGCTGGGACTCGGGACGCTGAGAATAGATGGAGGCGGGGCCAGTCAGAGGTGGGATTTGCCGGTTCTCCGAACGACTCAAAATTTCCTCTACCGGTTCTCCAGAACCAATCAGAACCTGCTGAATACCACCTCTGGTCCTAAGTTGAGGACTAGCTGTACCATTTTGCCTGGATGAAGACAAAGCATCGCCTTGTCCTTGTGATAAAGATCCCATGAATATACATTCAAAGGTGGGAGTGAAGGGACAACCTTTCCCCTTTGATCCTTACGCCTTCAAAGCAGTAATAACACAGGAGGGGAAAAGGAAGAATCTGCCTTAGTGGCAGAAGAAAGAACGTGGGAAGGGAACGTGAAGACTTGCGGTGGCTGAAATAATCACAATTTCTCCCAGGGACCAAAGTCTGCAATCGAGATGGGCATTTTTAGTTTTTGGCTTCAGGAACAGTAGCTTGGCGAATTGCCCTTAGGGCAGCCCCGTCAACGGATCAAAGGACGCCACAAAGACATCCTGTTAAGCAAGTCCAGGGCTAAGGAAGGAGCCGAGGTGGTGCAGTGGTTAGAATGCGGTACTGCAGCTAATTCTGCTGATTACCGGCTGCCTGCAATTTGGCAGTTCGATCCTGACCGACTCAAGGTTGACTCAGCCTTCCATCCTTCCCAGATGGGTAAAATGAGGACCCAGATTGTTGGGGGCAAGAGGCTGACTCTGGAAACCATTTAGAGAGGGCTGTAAAAGCACTGTGAAGAGGTATATAACAAGGGTCTTCAAACTTGGTAAGTTTAAGACTTGTGGACTTCAAGTTCCAGAATTCCTGAGCTAACATGACTGGAAGAGGAATTCTGGGAGTTGAAGTCCACAAGTCTTAAAGCTGTCAAGTTTGAAGGCCCCTGGTATAAGTCTAAGTGCTTTTGCTATTTGGGGGATTACAAATGACATGTTTTCCCAACTACAATCACAGCACCTTCTCCTCTAATCTCCCCTAGTACAGATAGTCCTTGATGTATGACCGTAATTGAACCCAAAATTTCTGTTTTTTAAGTGAGTTTTGCTCTATTTTACAATCTTTCTTGCCATAGTTGTTCAGTGAATCGCTGAAGTCGTTAAGTTCGTCACACCGTTGTTAAGTGAATCTGGCTTCCCCTCTGACTTTGCTTGTCAGAAGGTCGCAAAAGGGGACCGACTCCAGGGCTCTGCGACCGTCATAAATAGGAGTCAGTTGCCAAGTGTCTAAATTTTGATCGCGTGACTGTGGGGGAATGCTGCAAGAGTCGTAAGTGCGAAAAATGGTCTTAACTCACTTTTTAGGTGCCCTTTTAACTTTGAACGGTCACTAAATGAATTGCTGTAAGTCGAGCACTACCTAGACTCCTTTAACTTGAAAATGCCAATGATCCCCCCTTTTATCTGAGGTCCTCTGAACTGTAATGGAAGAGAGCCCCAAACTTAAACGATAGAATATCAACTCCACAAGTTCAATCCATGCCATCTCCTTGGTTCTCTCTGGTTGCTTTCATACAGATGTTTCATTACCAAACTAGGTAACACCATCAGTGCTAGAAGGGAACGAGCAAATTCCACTCCCGTCTAGTCAGCGGTGGGATTCAAATTTTTTTTACTACCGGTTCTGTGGGCGTGGCTTGGTGGGCGTGGCAAAGGAAGGAGACTGTAAGATCTCCAGTCAGAGGGTGGGATTTGCCGGTTCTCCGAACTTCTCAAAATTTCCGCTACCGGTTCTCCAGAACGGGTCAGAACCGGCTGAATACCCCCCTCTGCGTCTAGCGGGGATGATTTTCTACATGGTAGGCACAGCAAATTCCAAAGCCTTTAATGGCTAAAAAGCTACGTGACTGCTCAAACCGTCAAAGTGACACGGATAAAGAATTTTTTTCCCATGGTTTTGCTTACCCTTTTTCATTAAAGCAGGGGTGTCAAATTCAATTCCATTGAGGGCCGCGTCAGGGTTTGTGTTTGACCTTGGGGGTGGGTGGTTGTGAGTGGGCGTGGCAGGGGTGGGCACGGTGGGTGTGGCCAGCTTGACGCCCTGAGCCCTTTGGCAGCAAAAACAGAGCTTGGGAGGGCTGCTCATAGCCCTCCCGGGCTCCGTTTTCGACTGAGACATCCTCCTGCATCTCTTGGAGCTCTGTTTTCGCTGGCCGAGGGGCTGCAGGAGGCCACTGCAGCTGAAAATGGAGGCCGGGAGGGCCATGTGGCCTGCAGGCCTTGAATTTGATATCCCTGGTCTAGAACTGGGGTCTCCAACCTCGGCCACTTTAAGCCTGGAGGACTTTTAACTTCCAGAATTTCCCAGCCAGCTTTGCTGGTCTACAAGATCTTTATAGAACATCTTTACTAGAAGACCTCTGGTCTAGAAGATTTTTACAGAATCACAAACGTGCATTGTTTTAAATTCTTCCTGCTTACATTCCATCAGTCATGGATAATTGCCTAGACACCCATGTCTTCTCTCACGCACATCCTCTTACAATTCCTCCGAATAATAGCCCTGCACCTGATTACTCCCAATATTTCAACCTCCTCGTCATGAAAGCTCATCAGATGTTTCCCCAGCTATTTTGTCTCTAATTGTCCCTATTTGTGTTCTTCTTTGTTGACTTTAAGCTTAACGTACGCGCAAGAAATGCACTCAAACCTGTACCAAGATACTGTAGGGGAAGATGATGTAGCAAGCTGCTAAACTTCTCCCAATTCCAGAATTTTAAAACAAAGGTATTATAGCCTTTGGCTGTTTCTGCCCCTGCTGAAAAATATCCTTTTTCTTGTTGTCTTTAAATAGTGACGTTTATCTTCCGGCATGAAACAACGTAAGCTTCTACTTACTTTTCGGGAGCATGAGCAGTGCAGGGCAATGGCTTATCTCCTGGATCCACCCACGATTGTATGGGTTGAACTGTACAGGGTATTAAGGAAATGGTATATTCTCCGGAATAATCTTTCCTGAAAGCAGAGACAAAGTACTGCCGTTAGTGCATTGAACTGCAAGCTTTTCCCTTGTGGATAACCCAAGAGGCAACTGGACTTTTTTTGTTTTTCCTTGAAGTCGTTTTGCTTCTCATCCAAGAAGCTTCTTCAGTTCTGACTGAATGGTTGGGGGAACTTCCGTCAGAACTGAAGAAGCCTCTTGGATGAAAAGTGAAACCTCTTCAAAGGAAAAACAAAGAAAGTCCAGTTGCCTCTTGAAAAAAAGCACCTTTGGGACAACTTTGAACCTGGATGACTGAGAATCTCCACAGACATTGAGTTCCTTGTGGTTAGTCGATCACGAGATGTGAGGAAGGCGAACCAAATAAAACACAACACATAGACAGAGAGTGGTGGTACTCATCTCTAGGGGGGATGAGTCTGCCTATCGAGATGAGGTGGACCGGTTGCTTTCATGGTGTGGAGACAATAACTTGGTCCTCAACATCAATAAGACCAAGGAGCTTATAGTGGACTATAGAAGGAAGAGATCAGACATCCAGCCCTTGCTCAGCAATGGAGACCGAGTGGATTCATTTAACAACTGTGTCAAGAAAGGTCGTAAAATGGGGCAAAATTCACTGAACAAATGTTTCACTTAGCAACAGAAGATTTGGGCTCAATTATGGTCATAAGTCAAGGACTACATCTATCTATCTATCTATCTATCTATCTATCTATCTATCTATCTATCATCTGCCTGTCCATCCATCCATCCATCTTTCTATCCACCTACCCATCTATCTTTCCATCCATCCGTTCATCCGTCCATCCACCCATCCATCCATCCCTCTATTCATCCATCCATCCGTTCATCCATCTATCTCTCCACCCACCCACCCACCCACCCATCCCTCTACTCATCCATCCATCTTTCCATCCGTCCATCCATCTATCTCTCCACCCACCCACCCATCCACCCACCCATTCATCCATCCATCCCTCTACCCATCCATCTTTCCATCCATCCATCTGTCCGTCCGTCCATCCATCCATCCACCCACCCACCCTTCTATCCATCCATCGTATCTTCTTGGACCACGATAGCAACTTTGGTAGCAACTCAAATGCATCTCCAAGTTCTCCCTTCATACCTGCTGTAGGAGCTGGTTGCTCTCCAGAGTTGATAAGGAGAGTCAAAGGTCTGTCCACTCCACAAGAGCTGTAGGTCAAATTCCATCCCTCCCAGGTGGTCAGGGGTCATGATAAAAGACTTGGCGTTTGGCAGAGTGTGGTGTTCCATCACAAAATGCCCTGTGCAGACGGAAATAAGCAGGTTCACTGTCCTAATATTTCTTCGTGGGGGAAGAGCAAATGGCCTTGAAGAAGGGGAGGAAGAGCTGCCACGAAAGCAACGATCAGATAAAAGTGCCCAAGAAATTAAATTCCTTGTTTTGGGGAGATGGGCAGCTATGCAAATTTGAGAAATAAATAGGTAAAATTAACCTGAGTAAACGGCTTAGGCAAGTTTCTCCATAGTTCACACAAAGACAAAGGGAGGACAGTGGGAAGCACATTCAGACTTGCAAGATTTTCTGTTACTAAAGGTTTACAATTAAACTAACACCGACCAACATGGCATTGGTTTCTTGGTCTGCCTTCAAGGGCTGATGGTGTGTGTGTGAAACAGAGAAAGAGTTAACATTTTGGAACAGCTTTTTTCCAGATGTTAGATGTCCAGATGTTCTTCTGATCCCTAGCCCGTTTTGTGATTGGGTACATTAATTGGAACCTGACAATAGCCAAATGAGCGTAAGTCCTCATTATCGATCATGTGAAGTACTAGTACCACTTTACAAAGCCCTAGTAAGGCCACACCTGGAATACTGCAAGCAATTTTGGTCATCGTACTACAAACAAGATGTTGAGACTCTGGAAAGAGTTCAGAGAAGAGAAACAAAGGTGATCAAAGGCCTGGAGACGAAAACATACAAAGAACAGCTGCAGGATTTGGGTTTGGCTAGTCTAAAGAAAAGAAGAATTGGGGTGATAGGGTAACAGTCTTCCGGTATTTGAGGGGCTGCCACAAAGAAGAGGGGGTTCAAATTATTCTCCAAAGCACCAGAAGGCAGGCCAACAAACAATGGATGGAAACTAATCAAGGAGAGAAACAACTTGGAATTGAGAAGAAACTTCCTAACAGAGAGGACAATTAACCAGTGGAACAGCTTGCCTCCAGAAATTGTGGGTGCTCCATCACTGGAGGTTTTAAAGAAGAGTCTAGATAGTCATTTATTTAAAATGGTATAGGGTCTCCTGCTTCAGCAGGGGACTGGACTAGAAGACCTCCAAGGTCCCTTCCAGCTCATTCTATTCTATTCTATTCTATTCTATTCTATTCTATTCTATTCTATTCTATTCTATTCTATTCTATTCTATTCTATTCTATTCTATTCTATCTGCAACACATGGCACTGGCAGTTCCCAGCTTCTATAAATGCGACCCCTAAGCTTTATTGAGGAATGCTGTGGCATTTCACCTATCCAAAATCTACCTTGCAAGGACAGAAGAATTTTCATAATGGATCTTAGGCTGGCTACTTTCTAAGGGATTCTGAATCTACTTCAAATCCTTGAGAAATGGGATCTAACTTCGCCCAAGATATAGTATTCGGCCATGCTGCATCAACTTCTCACGCCTAAGAGCTTCCATGATACTGCAGGAACAGTAACAATCTCAGGGCACAGTGTGAAATGACAAAGAAAACAAATCAACAGCAAAAGAGGGACATTAAAAAAAAAAAGAGTTAAGAGCCTCTGATTTCTAAATTTCACCAAAGCAGCAGGAAGAAGACTCCATTAGAGCCGTGGTGGTGTAGTGGTTACAATGCAGTAAACTCTGCTCACTGCCAGAAGTTCGATCCTCATTGGCTCAAGGTTGACTCAGGCTTCCGTCCTTCCAAGGTCAGTAAAATGGGGACCAAGATTGTTGGGGGCAAGAGGCTGACTCTGTAAACCGCTTAGAGAGGGCTGTATAAGTCTAAGTGCTATTGCTTGAGAAGGGAAGGGAAGGGAAGGGAAGGGAAGGGAAAGGAAAGGAAAGGAAAGGAAAGGAAAGAAGGAAAGGAAAGGAAAGGAAAGGAAAGGAAAGGAAAGAAGGAAAGGAAAGAAGGAAAGGAAAGGAAAGAAGGAAAGGAAAGGAAAGGAAAGACTGGAAATGAGAAGAAAGGAAGCCATAGTGGTATAGTGGTTAGAATGAAGTATTGCAGGCTGACTCTGCCAATTGCCAGTAGTTCGATTCTCAATGGCTCAAGGTTGACTCAGCCTTCCACCCTTCCAAAGTCAGTAAAATGAGGACCCAGATTGTTGGGGGGCAAGATGCTGACCCTGTAAATTGCTTAGAGAGGGCAATAAAAGCACTATGAAGCAGTATATAACTGTATATAAGCACTATTGCTATTGTTTCTGTTTTCAGAATCGTAACTCTACGCAGTCCAGGGTTCGTACACTGATGCTCATCAGAATGTAGTTTTTGAAAAAAAAAGATCAATGTGTGTTGGGATACGATTCCAGAAGAGAATGCTTCCCTCCCACTGTTAAGAAATACCATCCAACCTTTCTGCAGTTCCAAGGCAGAAAAAGAAAAGGATCTTCTCGGTTAATTGCAGAAAGACAAGAAAGACTCACCTCTGAACTTAGCATGAGTTTTGAACTCAATGACCAGCCGACCATCATCTCGGATGTAGATCCTGATTATCTGCAGCTTGGCTGAAAGGACGCTGTCCGTCTGTATACCTAAAGGAGAGAATGCCAATAGACTGGGCTTCCTCAACAGAGGGTCATGGATTAGTCATCCCATCACCCTGCTCCCTTGGCTGGAAGTCTACTTCCAGCAGGAGGAGAAACACCAAGGAAGTTCTCAAGAAGCCAAACTTGGCCACACGGAGGACAACGGAGCATTTCGCGGGTGCTACGGTCCATTCCTTTCAACCCCGTCGTCATGGAGAAAATAAAACTAGCCCCCTACCTGTTCTCCAGAGAATGGTGTCATAGAAGAAGGAAAACTCCATCTCTGTGTGATGCTCCAGAGAGGCCCAGCCTCTGGGTGCCGTTACATAAACGTAGGAGACGTAAAGTGGGACATGGACGGTCAAGAACGACTGAGCTGAATCCCGAACCTGTCATCACAGAGGGAAAAAGTACCGTATGGTGTTTACATACCATCTTGCCTTTTTCTAAAGCAGAGGGACCAATCTGGATGGTAATGCCCCTTACTCTAGCCCTTAAGGGCCCATTGCTTTAAAATTGATTGTTTACTATCTCCAGCCTCCAATTCCATAACATGCTTTTAAATCTTGGACATGGAGATGGATGACATATAAATAAAAATAATAAAATAAAATGATAAGAAAGAAAGAAAGAAAGAAAGAAAGAAAGAAGGAAGGAAGGAAGGAAGGAAGGAAGGAAGGAAGGAAGGAAGGAA